GTGGCTTCGCTGACTCAAAACCCATGTGACCATCTTCCAGATTTGCTTCTGTTTTCCTGCAGGCTGGACAGGCTTCTGGCTATGACCCAGGGATGAGGGACACGTGTGCACCAGCACACACACACCCCAATGCACACACATACAGGCTCTGGCATCTTGGTGGGCGCCTAGATGTGCCCGGACATTAACACAAACTGACAAGGGATGCAGCCCTGAAGCCACATGTCCCAATGGCCAGCCACGGCACTAAGCCATGGCAATCACATCAGTTATTGCAGGTTTTTCCCTTTGGAGAACTTGGGACTGGGGCTTCGACATGCAGGAAGCTCCCTCTCTCAGCTCCTTAATAAATTTCTGCCTCCTGCTGCCGGGCGTGGAGGCAGGTGGAAAGAATTCAGCTGCAGCGCCAGGAGCTACAAAGTTTTAAGGTTCTCCTTTCCCCGGTGACAGAAAGCTGTAAAATTTCCCTCCCCCAAATATTGTAAGCCACATGGAAATGGCTCCTCTTTATCCGAATGGCAATGAACTGGGAAGCCTCTTCCACCCGATCAAATTCACAGGCATGGGCAGTCCGGATTTTGAGTTTGTAAGTAGCATTTTAATTTGTTGTCAGTGCCCAGGAGCAGAAGCTCACGCCACCAATCAAAACACTATAGCCTCCAAGCTATTAGCTAACATGTCAACTAGGTAATGCATCTTCAGGGAAACCAGACTAGAAAGGACAGCAAAACATTGATTTTTTTTTTTTTTTTTTTTAAGAATCCCATACCTGCAGCATAATGCTGCTAAAGCTAGCGAAACAACAAAGGACATTTCCACAGCAAGGAAATGTCTTGTTCTCAGTGCTGGGGCAGCGAACATTGTTGCATGTGAGCATGGACATGCATACAGGGCAGAGCAGTCTTCCCTAAACCCACAGGCTTTTTAATTTTGTAAATCAACCATCATTCAGTGCATGAGAAAGCTCAGGGGAGAATCTACCCACGTGAACGGCTGGAAACACCAGTTGAGAGCAAGGCTACCCAGAAAGCAGGTGGAGTTTTTTTTTTTTTTTTTTTTTTTTTTGGTATTCACCTCCCAAAAGAAACAATAGCATTTGTCTCAAGTTAAAACATCTAAGAAACTCATCCATCTGAGAGAGTTGCAATGCATTCATATAGAGAGGGTTCCAATCAGGCTTTCTTTATCCTGGCTCCCGCAGCCTGCCCACAAATCACTAGGCAGTTAAAGACAAACCCAAATACCTTCTCTACCGAGCGGATCCCCAGAACTTCACATAGGAGCCGGGCTCCTGTCTCCCCATCTTCTCCAAAACACATTTAGCGAAGTCAAGCCAGACGGCGTCCCCTCCCACCCGCAACCGCCCCCACCCCCCCAAACGAGCACCAAGTAACTGGCAAGTCCTTACCGACTTTGGGCTCTTCTTGGGAACTGGCAGCCCTGGAAAAAATGCAACAAGGAGGGGAGGGGGGAAGAAATCATTAGCATATAAATGTTACCTTTTCCTTAAAGAACAATCCCCAGGTGTTTCATGGCAACCTAGCCATCCGCAGAGTTAGGTCAGATTTCTCCCCAGCATCGGGGTTACCAGGCTGTTCATATCGAATCAAAGCAGAGGGAGGAGAGCGAGAGGCAGGAGATCTATCTGCATTAGCTATGCTGACTTGTACTGCAGCAGCCTGGAGGCTGGGAAAAGAAATTCACAGACCTCGGCAGCCTGGGAAATTGAACACTTGGACAGAATCTCAAATGCTCTTCTGGATTAAGACAGACTTAACTTACAATTAAGTCCAGGATATTTCCTTTCCACCCGATCCACTTGTCAATTGAAGCGGACCAATCAGGGCAGAGGAAGGGGTGTATATTGAATTTCAGTGGAGTACATGGTTAAAATTTAATTTTTTTCTTTTTTTCTCTCGATCTTTCCTTTTTTTTTTCTCTGTCAGGAGAGGAAATGCCTTCTTTACTTGGAAGAGCAGAACACCAAAACAAAGACGGATTCTCTTTTGCCAGCACAGAACACAAATGCAAGTTGGTCTGGGGACCCCCTATGGACCATGGACACGCCTTTCCGTGTGTCAGTCATCCAAGCAAACTCCTATTCGGCCTGGGGGAGGGACTCAGCTGGGACCAGCCCCTCAAGGGGAAAGCATGTCTTTGGAGAAGGAAAGAAGTTTCACATAGCAGAGAGAGAGAATATGGAGAAAGGGGAAGGCAGAGGAGACTAAGATGGGCAGGGAACCTGCTGGCTCTTCCAAGCCCTGTACTCAGTGGGAGTGAGACAGCTGGGAGGAAGGGACCTCTGATCTCATTTCTAGGAAAGTCAGAAGGATCAGGGCAGGTATGGGAATGTGCCCCCAGGGGAGCACCAGAAAGGAAAAGTAAAGCACCTAATCATTTCTGCAAGCTGCCCTCTCATTTAAAAAAAATTCTTCAGATCCCACCTGTATTAGACACCAAAGGTACACTTGGATCTGGTGATTCTGCATTGGAAATTTCAACTTTTTAAAGAAAATGATCCCCACGTAGTGTGTGGATTTCTACTCTTTTGGAAGTAGCCTGTCAAATTCATTTCCAAGGCAACGGAAATGGGTGACTAGGGAGAAGACACCCTGAGGAGCACTGGGAAGTGTCCCCTGCACTCAGGCCTGAGAGGGATGAGTCGTCTTCAAAGGCATGAGGGCGCTTCTTTAGCAGGGCTCATCACAGTGCCAAAATGAGGTCACCGCGGTCTCAGGCAGGTAGCGTGGCTCTCAGATGCCAGTGCTAAGGAGCACATGGCAGCTTGTTAAAAACGCAGGATCCCCAGGCCTTACCCATCAGGGGCCCAGAAATCTGCAGGATGAACAAATATTCCACAAGATTCTGACACAGGGTTCTGAGGACCACATCTGAGGCAACTACCATGCAGTATAAAGAGTGTTATTCTTTTGAGTCAGGCAGACTCAGAGAAGAAACTCTCAGTGGGCTGTTTTAGAGCCTTCCGGGCCTCAGTTTCTCAGTTTATGAAATGGAGTTAAGAAGACTCACTTCACAGGGTTGTCAGTAATCAAATGGACCAAATGCTGAAAAGCCTTGTACTTGGTAAAAGGCAGGCCCTCAAATGTTCTCCCCTTCCCTCTCCTTTGCTAACTGACACCAGTCAGGAAGGAAGTGGTTCTGGTTATCTTACTCTAACGCGGCAAAATCACCGGCCTAGCACGTTAAAATAGAAAAAGTACTATAGGGGAAATATTTTACCTATAGATGAGAATAACCATGTTGGGCAATTTAGATATGTCATTATTTTAAAAAGTAATCATTAGGTGCTTTTGTTTGTTTGTTAATGTGATTACCTTAGAGAATTTTATCAAGTTACATTAGTGTGGGTCACTGTCTACACTTCAAAATCACATAATATTCCTGGTTAAAGTTCATATTTTCCCCTAATTCAGACTGACCTTAGTTAACTGAAATGAGCAAGGCTGCACCACAGTTAGCTAGACCTGGCCTTGTCCAGGGTCCCTGTGACTCTACAGAAATGCGTATGGCATGTCCAACCAGGTCAGAGGAGTCGGGAACAGGGCGTCAACCCACACCTGCCAGTTAGTTCTTCATAAGACTACGGCCCTCTTACATGTTCTGCCTCTAAGATTTTCACACATAAAGTAAAGGCCACTCCCATCCTCTGTCATGGAGAAACACACGCTCTAGGTGCTGGGTAAGGGTGCTCCCTGCAGCGCTGCTGGTGGAGGGAGACCTGGGGACAGGTGGACGCTCTAATACGCCGTGGGCCAGCTGACCTGGGAAGCGTCTGCAGAGGTAAAAGAAAGGAGCTATTCTGTGGGTAACAGCCCGACGGTTCCCGAAACATGAAGCTGAGTGAGGGCAGCAGGCCGCAGTGGCAGGTAGGGGAGGAGACAGGTGCTAACTGCACTCAACACACGCACAGCACCTGCCTCTCGCCACTGCACACACCAAACTGGTAACAGGGACATTTCTGGTGGGACAAGGGAGGGCAGGGTTCTGGGGACTAGTTTAGGCAGAATTTCCCCTTAATCTAGAAATCTTTATCAGGAACACCATAGTCACATCTTGCTGAGACAATGAAATATTAATTTAAAAATAAACGTCAATTAATTAATGGCCCTTCCATTAACTGTATAAACCCAAGCAGTCTGAAGCACACTGGGGTGACCAGTGATGGTCCATTTTCTCTGAGGATGCAGTCCAGGGAACTTGCCAACAGTCCCAGTCTGAAGCATACTGGGGTGATCAGTGATGGTCCATTTTCTCTGAGGATGCAGTCCAGGGAACATGCCAACAGTCCCAGCTCCAAAGACACAAGTTGTATTTTACAACAATGACAAACTTTTTCTAATTTAAAGAGGAATTCACTTCTGTTTGCTCGCTAGTTGTTGAAAACCTTCATTTAAAAAGCTATGCCTTTTACAGGAGCCCAAAGTGGCCACACATCAGTACTTAAAAGTCAAAAATCAAAAGATTCCACTTGACTGCTTTCAAACAACAACAATTTGTTTTAGGTCCACAGAGTCATTAAATCTTAAAATCTAATGAATGCTGGAACACAGCTCCTGATACAATTTATCATTCATTTTAGCCCAAACTATTCAGGTAGATTGAAAACAGCTGGGAGGCCTGGTGGAAAACACTAGAAAAGAGTCACCATTTGGCAGAGTCGCCCAAGACCTAGAAATCTGAGGATGTGGCTCTTATGTAGCTGGAGCTGACCGCAGGCCACCCCACACTGGCTGGGCAACAGCAAGAGGCACAACCCCACCCTTCAGGGCACCTGGGCAGTTTTCCTCAGGACAAATGTGCTGAGTGTTCCCAGTGGGAAGCTTGTGTTGTGTAAATCGCATATTCCACAGGAGGCAAATGGAATAATGGGCTCATCTGCTCCCTCCCGGAAAAGGAAGGAGCATTTGGAGAGGAGGCAGAAGAAAGGGGTCACGGATGGCACCACCTGAGAGCTTAGACGGTGCCAAATGTGACTTCAAAGGGATCCCAGGACACTTTTACTGGGAAGTGTGTGTTCACAGTGTGAGTTTTAGTGTGATCTACAGAAGTGAGAAAAGCCTGGGAACGGAAGTTCTAAATTTCCCTGTGATAAAGGTGTCCCTTCGGAGAAACAAATGGCCAAGTCTCTGCTAGCGACTGGGATCTGACCAATTAACATGAGGAGGAGGAGGGATCTCGCTCCTTTTAAATATCAAGGCCATAAACTATGCCACTGAGCATGTTCTCGTATAACTAAATGGCAAATGCTATTCTTGGTGAAATTTTATAATGGTGGTACACAATTTACATAAAAGAGTAAAAATATAATGGAATATATATGCCTTTGGAAACAAAGAAAAGAAGGTTATGCCCCAAAAAACCATGTTGGTTCTTTGGCTCATGGCATCAAGATGCCTTCATTGCCTATTCCTGTATTTTCTACAACAGGCAAAGCTGCTCAGAAGCACATAGTTTTGCATATAACTCAAGCAGTCTCTGAAACCTTGACCAGTGGCCTTGCAAAGCCCCTTTTGTTGGGTCCTTAAGCCATCCCTGCCCAAGCACATCACGATGGTGTTGGCTGCGACTCCTAGGGTGACATTCGCACCACCTAGGTTTGTGCCTCTAGTAAGGGCAGCATGGGAAAGATTCTGTATCTGCGAGAAGAAGGGACAGTGAGAAGCACCAAGCAGAAAGGGGGAAGCTGCTTTTCTTCCTTCTCTGCCTTCTTTCTTGGGACGATCTAAAGGGCACATCTAAAAAGGTTTTTAGGGGAGATACTGCGTTAAAGAACACACCAGAACACTAACATTCACCGGCAAAAATGCTACTGCATGAAAAATAATGGACCTGCTAGGTGATGAGGTGATGCTTTTATTGGAAGGAGGGGTAATATGATGACGGAGCCAAATACTAAGAATTCAGTGAGGTAGAGATGCGGAGGGGGTGCAGGAAAGACAGTGAGAATCTATGACTTCCCAGGAATGCAGAGCTGATGGTTATTTGACTGCAAACCAGTGGCTCTACACAATTAATATTAATGACCAGTAACCCTCCTAAAAAGCCATCTCCACCATCCTCTGCCAACTAGTTTGCTGTTTTGTTTGTTTCATACATAATATATAAACCATGAAATAAATGTAAACTGCTCTGACCTTACCAACCAAATGCTAAGGACAGTCCAGAAAACTGCAAAAGGCAGGTACAATCAAGGCCCACTTTCTGCACTGAGGGCAAGAAGGAAAAGGGAAAATTCACTCACTCATTTAACCAAACTGTGCTAAAGGCCTACTGTGTGCCAGGAGAGGGCATGAAGTAAGCAACGAACAAGACCTACAGCAGCCTGTTTTCACAGTGCTCGCATTCTGCGGGGACACAGAATAAACAACTTGGCCAATCATTTCAGGGCAGTGACTTGGGAGAGGAGGACGGAGCAGGAC